TGGCAGTTTACTTTAAACCTTTCATGTGTATAAAAAAGGGATTAAAGGGATTCAAGAACAATTATTATAGCCCGATATATTATATATATATATTTATGTTTTATTTATTCTGAAAAGCATTAATTAGGATGAATATGACATAAAGGCATTAAAAAGCATGATATATTTAAACAAATCTGTCCTTAAAAACAATTTTCTTCATATTTCTGTATAAAGAAACCCCCAATTTTTAGTAATATTTCAACCTAAAAATACTCCTGTGTTAAAGTTCCAAAAAATGTTTGAATTCAAGTTTTAGTGAAATAGTTGAGAAACAGCACACAAACCAATACTAAATTATGACATATTGTAATGAAGCATGTAGCCTATGAATGCCAGCTGAAAGCAGTTCAATACTTATATTTACTATTTTTGGAATCTGTTCATCACATAAAAAATTCAATTACGCTTATTATTTTTCAGCATTTAGGCCAGACAAAAACAAATATGAGTTTCCTGTAACATGTTGGAAAAATTTAGGGTAGGTAGGTGGGAAGGTAACTTCTGTGCTTCTTTGAAAATTGCCTTAAAAATGTAACAAATTAGGGTAGGTAGGGTCAGGAAACATCAATTATTTTTTGTTTGGCCTTAGTTAAAATAATGTATGTATCATGTATGCTTGTTCAATGAATAGAACAGCCATCGCCCAGGGAGGGTCAGTGGTATCCAATGTAATAACTATGATGTCGTAATAATGATGATGTCAACAATCGGTCCATGGCATTCATAGCCTATTATGAATGCCAACTGAATTTGGTAGGATTATATAGTGGCAATGCCAAACAATGGTATATGTAACTATATAAATACATTAAAATGTACATGCCTGTTTGATCCCAACTGTAGTCCAGCGCTCAGATCAACTGCAATAAAAAATATATATATATATAAATGAATCAGAAATTAACCAATTAAATAGGTAATAAACTAGATACAGCTGGCCCATGCTGTAACGAATTTGACTTGTGACCATGACATTAATGAATCAAGGTCATTCATTTGAACAAACTTGATGACCCTTCATACAATATGCCCCTATTAGTATCTTTGTATTCAGAAGTTTGATCGTTAATGGTTTAACACATTTTTGACCCCTGTGACCTTGAAAGTTGGTCAAGGTCATACAATTATCCCTATGCTCTAGCATGCAACTGGCCAAATGTCATGAACCTTAATTTAAGACGGTCCTTAAATTATTCAGAAGAAGTCTTTTACAGAAAAAGTTGACAGAGAACTGGTGAAAGACAGAAGGATTAAACAGACAACTGCTGCTGCATAAACTCCACTTGCCCTTTGAAGTTAACATGTCATTTGTGGCTAATCAACTCGGTCAACCTTAAAAGTGTCTTCAACCGACAACAAGCGTCTTCAAGTGACAACAAGTGTCACCAGACAAAATCTTTAAAAATACTGAATAAAGTAAGCGGCATCATAAGATATGTTGTTAATACCTCTATACCAAATTTCAATTTATTTGAAAATTTGACCGAATTATGATGAATTGATTTTACAATCTGCGGCTCGGCACGTGTGTGTATTAACCTGTACAGTTAAGATAGCGTCGCCAGACAAAATCTTTGAAAATACTTACTAAAGTAAGCAACATCAGAGGATATGTTATTGATTTGACTTTCATGTACCTATATACCGAATTTCAGCTAGATATTTGATTTTTTTTTACCGAAAAATGATAAACTGAATTTTAACGATCGGCGCCATGGCACACGTGTGTGAATTGAACTCCACTGATCGTGAAACGTCTTCAGACTTTACCTCTAAGATTAACCTTTAAAGTAAGCGACATCATAAGATATGTTTTTCATATGACTATGATACACCTATGTACCAAACTTTAGGTCGATATTTGAAACAAGAGGCCTAATGGGCCTGCATCGCTCACCTGGTATTAATCTCACACTTGTAATCTTAAAAGTGGACTAAAATACAGCTACAGACAGAATATCAGTGTTTGATTCATAAGAACCTATTGAAAGATTTAAACATATGAAGCCTGTGACCTTGAATGTGGAACAAGGACATTAGGTTGAAAGTGGGTGAAGGTCATTCATTTGAACAAACTTGGTAGTCCTTCATCCCAGCATGCTACAGGCCCAATATCAGTACCCTGGGCCTTTTGGTTATTGAAAAGAAGTTGTTTGAAGATTTTAACATATTTGACCCCTGTCACCTTGAAAGAGGGTCAAGGTCATACATTTGAACAAACTTGGTAGCCTACATCCCAGCATGCTACAGGCCCCATTAAAGTACCCAGGGCATTTTAGTTATTGAGAAGTCGTGTGAAGATTTTAACATACTTGACCCCTGTGACCTTGAAAGTTGGTCAAGGTCATTCATTTGAACAAGCTTGGTCGTCCTTCATCCCAGCATGCTACAGGCCATATTTCAGTACCCTGGGCCTTTTGGTTATTGAGAAGAAGTTGTTTGAAGATTTTAAGAATTTGACCCCTGTGACTTTGAAAGTGGGTCAATGTCATTCATTTGAACAAATTTGGTAGCCCTTCATCCCAGCATGCTACAGGCCCAATATCAGTACCCTGGGCCTTTTGGTTATTGAGAAGAAGTTATTTAAAGTAAAATATTGACGCCGGACGCAGGACGGCCGACAGACAATGCGCCATGGCATAAGCTCACTTGCCCTTCGGTCAGGTGAGCTAAAAAATGACATACTCATAGTAATGATGATTTTATTTTGTTTACGATCGGCGCCGTTTCATACGTTGTAAAGAAATCTACCGATCGTGAAGCGTCTTCAAACTATATCTCTAAAATTAACCTAAAAAGTAAGCGACATCAGACGATATGTTATTCATATGACTATAACACACTTTTATACAAAGTTTCAGGTCGATATATGATCAAATGCCCGAGTTATCGCGAGGTATTTAAGTTTGATGAGCACACGTATGAAGCTCTCGGCGTGTCACATATGTCTACATGTCATCTGTCAGTAGAGGAACGGAGGCCTGTAGACAATTAATACCACTGGGGATGGTCAGTGGCCAGTTTGAGAAATGGTTAAGTGTGCCTCCTAGTACTCCTGTCAGTGGTGGTCAGCTGTTGGTCGAGGAATGGAGGCCCTTGGATATTGTTCCACAGGTGATAGTCAGTGGCCAGTTTGAGAAATGGTTAAGTGTGCCTCCTAGTACTCCTCTCCTGTCAGTTGTGGTCAGCTGTCAGTCGAGGACGGAGGCCCACTGGTACTGTCACTAAGCAACCTAATACAGGTGATGGGTCAGCTACATTTGGTAGGGAAAGCGATCCTCCTAGTACTCCTGGCAGTGGCGGTCAGCTGTCAGTCGAGGAACAGAGGCCCGACAACGTTGTCACTGGGCAACCTAGCACCACAGAAGTGCCATTCACCGAGACAGTTAGCAGCGGAAGCGCACCCTGTAGTACTTCCATCTGTGATTGGCAGTTGTCGGTCAAGGAACGGACGCCTGTTGAGGTTTCTTCTGGAAAACCTAGCCTCCTTTCAGTAAAGGTTAGCCAGTTGAGAGCGGTCAATGTACATAGGACAGACAGGAGAGTGTGACAATTATGTCATGGAATATTTGTAGGGCAGTGTGACAATCTTAAAGATCCGAAATTTGTTGAAAATGTAAATATTTATGATAAAGTTTGTCTATATGAGTGCTGGGTTAAACCGGACGATGATATATCACTGCCTGGTTATTGTATATATTCATTTCCTCTTATTAATGCAAAAGGAGGTGGGATTATAATTTATGTTAAAGATGGATTGAGTAAAATTTGTACATTTGTTGAAAATATTTTAGATTGCGTTGTGATTTTGAAGTTGAAATGCATTGGTGAAATTGAGACTCACTATTGATGAATAGAACTAATATGGTGTTGCATTTGGATATGATTTTGTCATCAATGACCGTGATCTTGTCAACAATATTATTCTTCTGCTTCTGCCTGGTAGTAGCCTCCTTCAACAGGTTGAAGATTCTGCTATGTTCGTAGGTGGTGTGCATGGTGTTAAAAGTTAATAAAAACTCGATAAAAACAAAAGGACCTCAGAGTTTTGACACACTGGCCTTGATGGCGTCCAGTGTGTTGGCGAGGGTGATGTCTGGCGGGAGGATGTTCCAGTCTCTCACCATCTTCGGGAAGAAGGACATCTTCCTTGTGTCGATCCTGTTTGTGTTGAGCTGGTATATATGATCTGGCATGGGCAGATCTACTGAGTCTGCGAGGTAATAGCAGTTTACCGCCTTTACTTATCGCAACTAGGCCTCAGTCGGTCCTGTACAACATAGCCAGGCGAGCGTCATGGCCTCTTTTCTGGAGTGATCTCCACCCAAGTACGTCGAGCATGCTGGAGATGCTGGAGGTGTTTCTGTGGAGGCAGGTCACATACCGTGCTGCTCCACCCCTTACGTATGGTCAACAGATTTGCAGAAATACGAAATGACGAAATGAAATACGTCTGTGATGAAAAAAGTCATCGTTGTCCCAGAAAAAATATGCAACTCTTAAACATAACTTTATGAAGAAAACTGACATTCATCAACAAATATGCCACGCCCATTCTTAACTTTAAATAGCATGCCGTTATTTCCCATTAACTGCATCATTGCAGTTCTACTCTTGTTTATATACCAAAAACAGTATTTGTTCTTCCAATTGCAAAGTTCATTTGACTCAGCATACGCTTAACTTACAAGAATTCGCGCTTTTTTAACCTTACCTGTCAAGTTGTAAACTGGGTTTCACATGGGCGCTGCCATGTTGTGTTCCGCATGGAATAGTAAAACAAGTATTTGAAAAAAATCGACATAAATAATGTTTCTTGAGAAATATTAAAGAATTGATAGAAATAAGATTAAAATGACCGGTCTTCTCTTATAAGATTGGACAAGAACCTTCAAATGAAACTTTTTGTCGAAACTTTCTTTCATTCGGAAGTCGATTCAATTCGATGAGTTCCGAACGGCAATTTAAAACAACAAACACTGTAGACTTGTAAACTCTACAACAACCAATGCACAGTCTTCAATATGATGAAACACGCTTTAAAGAGGCTCATTAGGTAATTTTGAATTGGTATTCAATACAATGCAACGATGTTTACTGTTTACATGCAATCCAGGGGCGTAACAAACGGGTTTTCAATGTGTAAGCCCAATGATGAAATGTGCTGCCGAAGGCAACACACCGAAGCGCGTAGCGCGAGGAGGGGGAGGGTATGGGAGGCAGGCACGTAGCTGGGCTTTTTCGATATGCATGCAGAAAGTCGCACCGAAGGTGCGAATGCGAGCGCCGAAGGCGCGAATCCATTCTAGGGGGGTACAGGGGCATGCCCTACCGGTTATTTTTTTAGATCTAGAAGCTCTGTTGTGCCATCTGGTGGCTTTTTAGATACATTTTTGAGTGTTTTAATTTATTTTACAGACAACATTTTTTGGTTGATTCATTCACTTTGTTATTTTTTTCTCTACGCCAAAAATGTGTCGATTGTTGGAATTCCTCGAAAATATCCGTTGCGTCATATCTCTTTCCTGATGAATCTAAATTAGCTAGATATTTAAAATGTCGGAGCCAATATAAACAGATTAATTTCAGATTTTTGCTGTTGTGACCACCAAACCCTTTTTATATCATCAACATTTCTCAGAACATAAGATGACGGTAGCTCCTATATAGATGTTTAGATATATGTATAGATCTACATATATATCCAGGAGCCCTACTGAAGATAGACCTAGGACTACTCTTAAAAACATACTTTATAAGTTCATGACGGGGGAAAATGAATGTATCTAACTACGTGTATCTATGATGTGAAATTCTCAATAGACCTATATAATGTCACAGATTAGCAAAAGCTAGGGGGTCTTACCCCTTCCCATCGATGTGGGTTGTGGGGGTCTCCCCCAGGAGATTTTTTTGTTTCTAGAACGCCTGAGACGCGTTCTCCCGTGTTCTGGTGTCAGTTTCAATGGCCATTTTAAAGCAAGAAAATATTATTTTCCCCTATTATTTTACAAATATTTTTTAATATTTTGTATCATATTGTCTTTGTCGCCTTTTTATTATAAAAATGATGTGTAAGCCCGGGCTTTTTTGCTACATAGGTTGTTACGCGTCTGCAATCAATATCATTATACAGTACAAATCAACGCTTGAGGACATGTGGTCGGATTACACAGGTAAAGTTTAGAACCAGTGACATTACCACAGTTATTCCGAGTCTCCTCTAGTCCTGACACCAGATTCAGACATTTTGACAGATAGTATAGATATCTGCCAAAATGTCTTAATCTGATGTCAGGGCCAGAGGAAACTCGATCAGGCTATACAGCAGAGAAGGCCGTGACACCATTTATAACAGGAAAGAGAGTTCTAGAGTGTGCATCTACTGGGGATCGTACCCGTGAGTCGTGACCTCCAGCTTCACTACTGATCAAACAGACAGGAAAAATCTCTCTAGCCCAAAGCTGAAGGCAACTGTAATGTACAATTTAAATCTGCCATCATAAACTCCAATTTGAATGAGGTCAATTTTACATATTATATATTATTAAAAGCAGAACCAGAGACGTATATACGTCTCTGGCAGAACTGAATTCTGCATACAAATTTGACTTTATTATTCAAAAATGTCTAACGTTATAGGCCTACATGGAATTTTAAATGACCGAGCCCAAAAACACAATTCAATCCAAAATATTCCAAAATAATATGATATTCTTAATTCAATTTGGAGAAACTTTAATTCTGTCAATGCTATAGAAATAATAAATATTATTTTAAATACGTTGACTGAATTAAAGTTTCTCCAAATTGAATTAAGAATATCATATTTTGTTATCTACTACAAGTGCTATGTTTATTATACTTGCATCAATTGTGTAACTAGGGTTGCACTACTGAATGCATATTGCGAATGCTGATTTTGACCTATATTTTATGCTTCATGTTTATGATGACTTTTGCGGTGCGAGCGAGGGATATCGATGACAGCGTCTTCTTGTTAAAATGAACATGCAGCCATATTTACTTATTCCAGCTGCATGGTGAAAATCCAAGCATTGGATGCTTTTGACAAAAATTAAATGTCACAATCACATTAAGCCGATCAGTTTGTCCCAGAGTGCGTTATTTTAATGGGATTTTATTAGGCAAGTGTATTATATTCAATAATATACATATTTTTACAGGGCCTATCCATCTCTGAACCTGAAGATCAACGTGACAAATAATGGCAAAGACATGTTTGTTGTTTTACCTGGACTCCGATTTGATGATGTTGACCACACAGGTACTCAGTATATATGTTTGAGACCAAAAGAAATATTTCCCCTAACCCAGCTGACACTACAAAATCTCAGCTACTATTCCCAAAACAATTTCTTTGAGTAATGTTCATTTTTGGCTGCTCAAAATTTTCGATTCATGCTATGTCTTACAGTTTTCAAATTTAAGATGCAAGCAAATTCTCATCCTAAACTATAAGCTGCTTTTGTTTAAAAAAAATATAAAATGAACACAATTCATGCATGTTATTATATTCAAATGCTATTATATGTAGAATATTTCAAGAATTAGATTTTTGAAATAGCTCATTTTTTCTTGAAATAAAATGTTGGTTCCTTTAATTCGCTATTGCATTTCAACTCCATCATATGAGCTCACCTGATGCAAAGGGGTAGAAAAAAGTGTTGAACTTACCTGGTGCCTCATATGGTGCTTTATGCTTTGTCCGCCATCGTTATCTTACTCATTTATCATAAGATTGTCAAAACTTGGACTAAACAACATTTTCTCAAAATTACCAAACAGATTTCAAAAGAATTTGAAAATAGTATTATTAACCCATTGGGATCAAAAGTTATATGAAAATAGGGGCTGATCTTTCTTTGGGCTGAGGAAAGGTCAAATTCAAAAGTAGTTTGTTTGGTTGACTTGATTTAAATGACATCTCTTCCAAAACAACTGGGCCTGGTGTCAACCAAATTGTGGGAACATCCTTTGCTCACAATGATCAATACTTATACAGATAAAAGTTATGATGATTCAGGGTCTGTCCTCGAAACTACATTTCGGATTTCAACCGAAAATAAAAGCCTCATTTCCAAAAAAGCCGCATGTGTGATTAAATACCTTTGGGCCTCTTGTTTTATGGTGCCAGCAATATAGACAAAAGAATGTTTGACTTCATATGTACTTTTATAGACGAATGCGGCAATAACATAAGTGATTGTATTCTGTTTTTGTGTGCAGGACAACCGGATATTTGGCGAGTCTTTGACATGATCAACCGAGTGGAGCATGCAGCCTTCTATAACGGTGTACCTTTCCTGGACTATACTTCTCTCAACGAGCATAACTTCGGTTCTATTGTGAAGGCATGTACACTAGAAGTGAAAAAAGACTTCTACGAGACAACAACGCCAAAAGCACCGCTCGACGTTACAGTCAAACTGGCTCACATCGGCAGAACTACCTTTACCACAGTATGCGAAATGTCGTGTGGTGGGAAAATGAAGCCGTCCGTGAGGATAAAAAACATGCACACACTCATGAATTTGGACCGACAAGAAGTCGAAGAGATTCCATTTTGGTGGCGCAACCGATTCCGCTCAAATGAGATGGACAGTGATAAACAGCATATCATCAACATAACACCGTCACCGAGGCCAGAAACTGCCTTCCTCCATCCATTTGCTGTACCTCTAAGTGATACGGACATCTCGCAGCGTACCCGATGCTCCTCCTATGTACGCTACTTCTTTGAAGTGGCAAGTATTGCCTCAAGTCGTGAACATTTCCTTAGCATCAAGAACTTTAACGAGTTTCACATCAAAAGTATGCAAATGTTGTACTTTGATTCAACTTGTTGGGGTGACGCGTTGACCTCGGCATGCTGGGAGGATACGCACCCTCTGACCCTTCACTGTAATGTGAGCAAGGGTGGAAAACCTGTGTGGTATGCCAATGTAGATCACTACTCAGAAGTTTTTGGGTGTTAGTTGATCTGTATGTTAACTCATTCACCCTTGAAGACACATTTGAACTCTTCCAAATCAAAAGATGGAAAAGCTCATTATAAAATTTCAGGGATGAATGAGTTAAGCAGGCATTCATTGGTGGCATTAAAATCTGTTTGATATTTATAATGACACTTCTAGCTGAAATTTCTTCTAAAATGAAGGGATTAATTTTTTGGCAGAGAAGTTAAATGTGCAAAATACCCATATTTTATTATTATGATGCTATACTATGCCTACTAAGAAATACTGCGGATATGATACATATATAGTCCTATACTTTATATTACTCATAGTTTATTGGAAGTGTCGACTGGACTGAACAAGCTCATTGTAGGGGAGAAACTGGTTGATATTTCTATTAAACTACAAGACCTACCCGCTCCTTCACCTGTTGTGATTGAATCTATGACCATGTAACCTATTGTACTCAATCTCACTCTCCCTTAACCTTATTTTATAATATAATGCAATTCTCTCATCATGATGTTATATATATGCTCATAATTTCACCTAAAATTATCGAATGAGAAGAAAATGATTATAATGTAAATTGAGATATTAAAAAGAACTTCAGTATGCACTCTGCTGCTTGATGCTGTATGTGACATTAAATATGTTACAAATAAATGCATGTTGACAGTTTTAGTTTGACCTGCCTCAACCAGAACACTGAATGATTTTAAAGTTTGCAAATCAGATATTTATTGATGTCCCATTGTAAAAATGTGTATGTTCATTTACCTGAACAGAACCAGAGTTTTCTGTAGTGTTTCTAGTTCAAGCAGTTTTATGAGTTACTGAGGTAATATCAGGCCATAACACCTAATTGTGTATAACCATTTGTCAGGTCACAAACTTTCCTTATATAAGTAAATATGTAATAGAAGTCATAGAAAGTTTGCAATGCCTCCATGCTTAAGGAATCAAATCAAGGACTGTTGGTTTACTAGTCTGAGGCTCTAATGAATGAGCTTGACAGAAATTTTCCCTAGCCAAGTCAGTAGGAAGTGGCTAGAGTTTTACCAGGGTGATATGCTCTCCTCCTAGGAAAGAATTTGTCCTGAGTGTTTCCAAGAGTAACAGCAATGCCTGTGAGAGCAAGGCTGATTATTTCATCAATTTATCCTGGTTACTTATATCGGCACCAGTGTAGTAGAGGTTATCATTTCTCAATGCCTCTGGCAGGGATAGAACATGGGACCCGTGGCTTACAAGTCTGATGCTCTAATGAATGAGCTAAATAGAAATGCTCCAAAGGTAAACCGATAGGAAAGCAAGTCAAACAGAGTTCATACTGTATACAGGGAAATTTCACCCAGGCAAACTTTCACCCTTCACAAGTCCTTATTTACTACGCATTAATCTCTCCATTCACCTTAAATAACAATAGCTGTTGATAGGACATTAAACAATATTATTATACCTCTACTTTATTTACTCTATATAAAAGTAATTGGTTAAATCGAATATATCACCACTTTTGCCTGACTGTTTTAGTCCTGTATGTTAGTCGGGGAGCTAAAACACACCTACACTCAAGTGTTTCCGCCAACCCAATTGGGCAAGAGGAGGGCGGAGCTTGTTAACAAACTTTGAAGCGACGCGCGAGGTGGGCGGAGCTTGCTACCGAACTCGGAAACATTTGGCTCCATTGCCATCAAAGGGGTAGTTGGGACATGAAGCTATACGGCTTATGGTTTACAAATATTTTCTAGTTAAAACTATCTCTCCAGTGTGTATCGATATAATAAAACGGTTAAAGTATGGGGTTGAGGGATATAGCAAGTTTCTCAGGACACCAGAAACTTGCTATATCCCTCAACCCCATACTTTTAACTGTATACTTAACCAAAGCATGATGTATATTAATTTTCATTGTCAGAATAAATTCACCCTCATGAAGGAGGGTGAAAAAGGCAAAAGTCTGACAATGGTTATCTTAAGAAGAGTATTTACAAGTCCTAGTCAGGTACCGTTTGTATATAATTTGTATGTGTTGAGTTCTGTGTATTACGGGTCTGAATTTCTAATATCCATACATATCACCACTGTTCATATATATTTTTAGCTCACCTGCCAGGGGGTTTTGTCCCCTGGCCGAGACATACAAGAGTCTGTAGAAATGGTAGTTTCTACTCCTGTTTAACGCTCAGCCATTTATGAGTGGGACGACTGGTTCACCCGTTGTCAGTATAATGTGACCGGGTGGGGTGTCCTGCTGGGTGTCTTCAGCAGTATGTTTCAGTGAGGTAGCACTATAAAATCAGCTGCAGTTCCACGCTATCACAAGGATCCAAACTCGAACATATCGCAGCCTCCCAAAACACACACACATACACTACATGCATGCATCTTGCACACAGCGGAGGCCGTCCTTAAATGACCATAGCTGTTTATCAGATGTTAAACAATACTAAACCAAACCAAACCAAACTTCTTCTGTACCATTGGAGGGATGTTATATAATAAGAATATTTTCCCATGGTTGCTTTATTATCCAGGTGAGCGATACAGGCCCTCTGGGCTTTTTGTTTGATACCCTAAGTCTTGAAATGGTACATTTGATTCTTAGGTGGCATCAAATATTTGCTATTTTCTGAATACATGTTTATCTCTTCTGCCTGAAGGGAAATGAGCTTATGTCACAGTGCCCCTCATACATCAGTAGCAGGCTGGGGTGAAGGGCTTTAAAGCTTATACCAGGTATTCAAAAGAGTTACCTTAACCCAATTGAAAGGTAACGTGTAAAATCCTTTAATAAAAAAACATTTAAAAATGAAATAAATAAAACATCATCAACAATAGTGTTCTAAGTGTGAAAATTGAGCAGGGCTAGACTGGGGTTCAAATCTCACTCTAATGACCTACCTAGTCAACACAAGTGTTCTGCCCCAACTGTGCTAGTTATATCCAAACAGAAATCAAGGGGAGGTTACTGTAACAGGGATCCTTAAACAACTTCTTCCTAAGTACAAAAAGTCTAGGGTCATTTTTCATCTGTAGCATGCTGGGAGAAGAATTATCAAGTTTGTACAAATGAATGACCTTGAACCTTATACAAGGTCACCATATCAAGTGTGTTGAAAGTCTTCAAATGAAATGTTTTCAAGAGTGATAATACCTAGACATGATATTTACCATGTAGCATGCTGGAGTGAATGGCTGATAGACTTGTTCAAATTAATAACCTTGACCTTCATTCAGTGTAATCATAAAGGAATGTAACAGGTGAACTATATATACGGCTTTTGTATTATCAAAAGTATGTAGGTATGTGGAATAGGTTTCTTATATATTCTATCAGCTGTAGAATTTGTGTTTGAACCAAGGCCTTGTTAAGATTCTGACCTAGAATTTCCAAATGCTCCCACTTCCTACCCAAACTTTTGGTAAAACACAACATGGCAATTCTAATGCAACTCTAAATATAGAAATTTATAGTGTCTAGATAACGGACACATAAACTGGGGCCGTATTTAGAAAAAATACGGCATATAATATACCTCAAATCATAGGGCATGCAAAACCTTCAAGGTATTAAGCTTAAATTTGTGGTGTCAGTTGCCAATGTCACATTGCCATAGTCAAATAATGTTTTAGCAAGCTTTTCATTGTGGGATACACATATCATACGAGTGTATGACACACTCGTATCTTGAATACATAAAGGTGGGAGAATAAATGTATTATCTTCCAGGAAATTGGCGTCAAATTAGATTACAAACAGAAATTTAAAGCATTATTTCAGTAGTTTACAAGATCAACTCAGTATTCTCAGTATTGATATCACAAGATCAAAACTGTTCTCCTCAAAATGAAGTACATTTGTATTTTTAAATAGGAGAAGAATTGTGAAATTTCAATATACCAGGTAATTAAAATTAGACTTGTAATAAATTCCATTCCTCTACGATCCTCTGTAATACAAACGTATAGTAGAGCCTTGTAGAGGAGCGGAAAATGTACAAGTCTAATTTTAATTAGATTGTGTGAAACTTCAGCCTTGTATATTCAGATTTTATTTTATTTTTTAATAATTCAATTGAGAACTGAGGGAAAGAGGGATTTTATTGAGAGAAAGGTTTTTATTTTCTGGTTTTACTTGAGAAACATTACCCAATCAGTCTTTGATATGTTGCTTGATTGTGTTACCATTATGTTTTATGTATTTTCTGTAAAATAACATGTACATGCATTTGTTTTAAACCAAGTGTTTCTAGTTTGCTGATTATTGGTGCATTTGTACATATTATTTGTTATGATTTATTCCATTATACATGTTTCCCTAAGGACAGACAGGAATCAATCAAGAGTGTTTTATGTGTTTATATTTTAATCATGTACTCTTTGCTCAGTCAACCGTAAAAATTTCATAATGAACTAATCCAACCTTTGAATTGAAAGAGTTCAAATGTGTCATCAGGGGTGAATGAGTTGAGCTTGCCATTGTGTGGTAAGACCTGTCAGTCACAAAAACTACGAGTATACCATTAAAGTGAATTTTTTTGTGTTATGACTCTTTAAAAGATTGTTGCGAAACATTTTGGCATTGACAATAGTTCAGAAATCTATGTCTATAATCTGTATACATTTATGTACATAATCTACAAATACATATTTGTGTCAGGATATTTTGGGGCTTATTGACTCAACACAAAAATGTCCACTTTTACAGTATCTAGCATCAGGGGCATTTTGTGATGTTGCTCGCTCGTTTTGTAAGAGATTTTTTTTAAAGAAATCAAGTTTTTAGGTCACCTGAGACAAAGTCTCAAGTGACCTATTGCGATCGCCTTTTGTCCGTCGTGCGTCCGTAAACAATTTACATTTTCGACTTCTTCTCCAAAACCCCTGAACCAATTTCAATGAAATTTTGCAGGGACCTTCCATGGACAAAGGTCAACAAAAATAGT